AGTGCTCCATAGACTGACAGTTGAGATCTCTTCCTTCCTTGTTAGGGCAAAGAAAAAGAGTAGCAAAACTGACCAGGAAGACACAGTCAAGTCAGAGTTGTTCAGAAAAAAAAAAATTCTACCGGAATTGTCTTTAAATAGCTGTCACCGCATATGCACAGTGCTGGAGCACATGCACAGTGCTGGAAAAGTGAGAATATACCATCAGAGGAAGAAGTGATAAGAAAAATCCTGGACTGTGCTGAGATGGACAAATTAACAAAAGAGATAAAAGAAAAGGAAGACACAGAGTACTATATAACATGGAACAAGTAGTATGACTGGTTAGAGACCAGAAACAATAATGTATAATAATATGAATTATTCTTAGTAAGAAGTAGAATATGAAGGAAGAAAAATGTAAATAAGAAACAACGGGGCAATAAGGACAAATATTCTAAAGAAAAATAAGGGGGGAAATGTAAATAATAGAAAATTACCGTTACGTAATCACTGTTAAAAAAAGGGAGAGGAGTATATGTATGTGTATGTGTGTTATATTTTGCTTTGTTTTGTTTTGTTGGTTAAAAATAAAATAAAAAAATAAAAAATAAATAGCTATCACCATTTATTGTTACATTAATGCTCTCCCCTTTCCTTGGTGTAAGGTTAGCACCTCAGCTCCATAAAGAACACAAGGTTGCTGATATTGCTATTGGTGGAAAATGCATTAAAAGTGAAAGCAAATTGAGAATATACCTCATGATCTCTACTCTCTGTTTCCAAAAGCTGGTAGACTAGAGTCTGCAAATGCAAGATACCAATAGCAATAGCACTTAGACCTATATACCACTTCACAGTGCTTTACGGCCCTAAGTGGTTTAAAAAGTCAATATATTGCCCCCAACAATCTGGGCCCTCATTTTACTGAGCTCAGAAGGATGGAAAGCTGAATCAACCTTGAGCTGGTCAGGATCAAACTCCTGGCAGTAGGCAGAATTAGCCTGCAATACTGCATTCTAACCACTGCACCACCATGCCTCTATAAACGCTTCTCATTCTTTGGAGGAAGGAAAACAAGCTGACATTTCTTAATCTCTTCCAGTTGCAGAGATACAAAGGTGGTCAAGGGCAAGTGTCATTGTTCCCCACCCTAATGTTCTTTAAATTAACTTTGCGCCTCCTGGAATCCTGGTAGATGTAGTTCCAACATGAGTCATCAGACAGGGAGATGGGTAGCATAAAAACCTAATAGGGTAGTCCTTGAGGGGAAAGGGAGAGGTTTCCAAGCTGAGCCATGTGGCTCAGGAATTCTGGAGTTGAAGTCCACGAGTCATAAAAGAGCCAAGGTTGCCTACCCCTGGTATAGGGTCACTTGTGCAACGTGGTTAGACTAGAAGACCTCCAAGGTTCTTTCCAATTCTGTTATTCAATTAGAACAAATTTTGGAGAGATTACCAGATGAGACAGGGAAGAGACAGGAAATTCCCCCTCCTGCAAGAAATCATCTCCTTCTTTCTTCAATTTTATATCAATGTTTTTTGCCTGAGACTGGCTAGGTGGCAGCACATACCAGCTTTGGCTGATCTCGGAAAGCTAAGCGAAGTCAAATCTGTTTAAAACCTGGATGAGAGACCACCAAAACATTTCATTGTTAATTGATTGACTTGTTTGTTTGCTTGTTTGTTTGAAGCATTTATGTCACCTAAAACACCCAAAACTGGAGAAAAAGGCAACAGCAAACTGCTTCTCATCACACTGATATGAAAAGCATAGGTGCTGTCAAGATGTTTGGAAGCAACTGGGGATGTATAGTTTAGAACAAAAGATGGTAGGGTAAAATACAGTAGAGTTAGATAAGATCACGTGTACAGCAACAGTGCAAAGTGTTTCTCCCTCTTTCACAATATTGGAACATAAGAGTAGCCATTAAAATAGAATACACAGAGATTTGAGGCTTATGGAAAGAAATATTTTCCCTGCACATTGTTGCCAAGAAAATGATCCATGAAACTATCAAAATGAACTTTCAGGCCTTATCTTCATTCTCTCCCTCCCTCCCTCCCTCCCTCCCTTCTGAAGGTTGCTTACACTGCAGACTCTCCAAATTTTATCCACATAAAACAAGCCTGTTATGTAGGCTAGACCAAGGGAAAATCTGATCCAAAGTCGTCAAGTAGACCTTCCATGGCCAAGCCAGCATTTCTGCAGAACAAATCTAGTCCCCTCAGCTGTAGATCTCCCTGGCTCTTACTACAGGTCTATGACAGCTCACCATGGCCATCTTGCCACAGTCAACTTGCCATAGCCAACTCGCCATGGGCAACTTGCTGGGGAAACACGCTGCAGGACAAGAGTTACACTAATATGGAAGAAATAGTGGAATAGAATAATTAAAGAAAGGATGCCAACGAAGGGACAAAATGAAGTGTGAATGACAAAAATTAAAATAATTTTTTAATTACTTTAAATCATTAAATTGAATTGTTGAATTGCCCCACAGCGAGTTGTCTGTGGCAAGTTGTCCCATTCTGCTTATGACTGCTCTTTCTCTGTGCAGACAGACTAGGAGCAAATGATAGCGAAACTAGGTAACTTTCCATTGGTACAAAAGAAATATGTTCTCCGCTTTTTAAAAAAAGTTTGGCACTCAGAAAGAAACTGAATTAATAACACAATTATTAATAGGTGCAACTTATCTGATAGCTCAGCAAGGGAAACTGAAAGATTGATTGTCAATAAATGTTTGGGGAGAAAGTACTGAAGCATGATTAATAGTTTATATCCTAGCAGATTTCGAGAAGGCAGAGCAAAAGACATAATGAAAGAATGGATGGATATATTTCTCCAATACTGATTGGATTTTGATTAAAATGATGTCACGAGCATGATGTGAACTGGGGAATAATATTTATTTCTTAGCAAGGTGATGATTTTAAATTCTGGGAGGGCACATGTCCAGATAAGTAATTATAGATATGATCCTTACTTGTAAATTAAATCATACATAATAAGGAATGAGGCAGAACAAGACTTATTTATGTGACCTAACAATAACTCATGTTTCCTTTTTTATTGGCAAGAAACACATCTTTGAGCTGTGCATATTTTGAAAAATGACGACTCTTACTTAAAAATAAAATGTGCCTCCATCTAATTTATTTGCCTTCCCCAACTCCATTTGCATCTGCCTTTGTTTGCTCTTTGCTCAAAGGGCCTTTGATCCTAACATCTGATCAAAAATGTCATCTCTTCTTTGAAGAGACTCAATCAACACTCCGTATGAGCTTCTCTCCAGAGTTTCTCTAACCACAATTCCGGAGAGATGCCCTCTTGGCATCTTAGCTCCTTTGAGACAATGGCCAGCTTTCTACATACGCACGCATGGCATGAACCAGAAAGAAGGCTAAGAAAATATCTACAGAAACTGTTTCAACCTCTCCCCTCAAGACACCACTATAGGGCATTGCATAAGCCGAGGACTGCCTGTAGTAATAAGAAGTCCTGAATTGGAAACTTAATAGTTAATATTTTGAACTAATCATAAATGTGGCTGAGGAGTCAATTTTCTATAATAGTTTTCATTGGCTTTCAAAAGCTGTAGGCTAGGATACAAGTAGTCCTCAATTGTAAATTTACAACCATTTGTTTAGTGACTGTTCCAAATTATAATGCCACTGTAAAAAGTGACTTATGATCGGTTTTCACACTTACGACCATTGCAGCATCCCCATGGTCACGTAATCAAAATCCAAGTGGTTGGCAATTAGCATGTATTTGTGACAGTTGCACTGTTCCGGGATCATGTGATCCCCATTTATAGCCTATTCAACAAGCAAAGTCAATGGGGGAAGCCAGATTCATATAATGATCGGTTGATTCAATAACTGCAGTGATTCACTTAACAACGGTGGCACAAAAGTTCATAAAATGGGGCAAAACTCATTTAACAACTGCATTGCTTAGCAACATAAAATTTGGGCTCATTTACAGTAGTAAGTTGAGGACTACTTGTATTTGAACTTCAGGTTTCATACTGAGTTGGTTATTACTTCTTTTAGACCCTTTGCCCCTTCACCGCATCACAGAGGTGTCCCTATGCATGGTGAAAAACAAAGATGGCAGTCACAATAGTGCAATCACAGCACTATGTAGGTTTTTTTAATGCATCATATGTGTAAAGCACATAAAAAAACAGGCAGGCCACCATCTTGACTTTTTGATCATACTCTGCAGGCATCCCAGTGTGCAGAGAGGATTGTGCAAGGCAAGAGTCACTTGGCTAATAAGCACAACAGCATCCTCCATTCACAAAAGTGTTTCTGAAATGAACTTGTCCTTTGAAAAAATTTCAAAAGCAAATTCTCTTTCATCCTTGGTAATGAGAGCTGACGCAGGGCAGAGGGTGTGTGGAGAGAGAGAACTACACAAATTCTCAGCTAGGGCATTGATCCTTCCTCTATGTCATGGGTGTCAAACTCGCAATTTCACGTGATGTATTGTGACGTATTGTGACTTTTTTTGCACTGCCAGATCTGGGGTGTGTGCAGCCTCTGTATGATGCAACCGGCCCACGGGCTGGCAGTTTGACACTCCTGCCCTATGTAATTCCTCCCCAATTGCCTTGAGTCCATAGAAATCAGCAGCCCTGTTAATAGTAACATGGAGGGAAAACTCAGAATACTGAAACAATTCATAAATTTCGATTTTCTTAAGGGTTAGGGATATAAATATTGGTTGATATTTGAGAAATGTGAGACAGCTGGGATAGGGAGAAAAAATATTTTATTTTTGCAAATTCACAGATTTACAAATTTACCCATCTTAGTTAAATAATTTTGGAGCAAAAACGTTCAGGAGGGAGGGAGGGAGGGAGGGAGGGAGGGAGGGAGGGAGGAAGGAAGGAAGGAAGGAAGGAAGGAAGGAAGGAAGGAAGGAAGGAAGGAAGGAAGGAAGGAAGGAAGGAAGGAAGGAAGACACAGCAACTGGCTTACAGAACTATTCCACTTCGCATTTTTCAGATTACTACTTATTCCAGTGGTAAAAATAGATTCTTGAAGTCTACAATAAATTCAGAGAAATACAAGAAGGAGGAGAAAGAAGAGGAGGAATGACTAGATGACCCTTGGTATACCTGAGACTGATTCCCAAGCTAAAGGCTGCAAATCTTCCTCACAAGCTAGGATCCTTTTGAAGGCCTTCAGATGTGTAGTGATATTTCTGAACACCAAAAGCATCCAAACTTTACTTTGCTCATACATTTTTGTTTGATTATAAAGTATAGTAGTGCTATTGCTAGTGAGGCAAAAATGCTGTCTAGACTAGGAACCTAAAGAAATCTCTAAGCAATTCACATTCCTATTTCTCTTCTCATTAGTTCTCCCTTTCATGTTCTCGATCTATTTTATTTTCACTGTCAAGAAATTTCTCCTTAGTCACACTTATAACCGTTGCAGCATCCCCATGGTCACGTGATCAGAATTCAGATGCTTGGGAACTGACTTACATTTATGACGGTTGCAGGGTGCCTGGGGGCATGTGATCCCCTTTTTGATCTTCTGACAAACAAAGTCAATGGGGAAGCCAGATTCAATTAACAACCGTGTTAGTAACTTAACAAGTGCGGTAATTCACTTAACAACTGTGGCAAGAAAGGTAGTAGAATGGGACAAAATTCACTTAACAAATGTCTCACTTAGCAACAGAAATGTTGGACTCAGTTGTGGTCATAGATCAAGGACAACATGTATTGGTTTATTTTCTTTTAATTGAAACCCGCTCAAAGCCATTCAGGATTCAGGTGGCCATCAAATTGAGTTAAATAAATAAAGGACCCTAGAGAGGTCCTCTAGATTAGAAGCCCACTGGGAAATCAAGATGGGATTTCCCTCTTACAGTCATTTTAATTTTCTTTTGCAGTGCAGCCAAAAAGGATGAAGAGAAAAAGAGAAAGTAATTATGCTAATTAGCCAAAGATAACTTGCAGGAGGAGTCAAAAAAGTCAAGATGGTGGCTCTGAATACCATCCTGACATTTTAAATCCCCCCCCATTGCAGACACCCTGCTACTTACCAAAATCTTTTCATCTCATTATTATTCCATTTTGCATTATAGTTTATCAATGCACAGAACTGCTTTATTTGCAAAGCCAAGAGTTATTTTTTTTAAAAAAAAAAACAAACAAACACCCCTCTAGTTGTATGAAAATTTACAGAACAAGTGCTATGGGTAGAGATGGTGGCAGTCTTGAATTGCCCGAAGTGTTATCGCAAAGATACGGAAATGGACCAATTCTCTATTAGCCAGGACCAGAATCCCAAAGGATAAAAGTTCAGGCAATCAAGAAGATTCTATGAGCTGTCAAACAGATTGACCCATGGAGAATTTTCCTGGAGGCTGATTCAGGTGGCTCTAGTCTACTATTTCTCAACTTTGACCACTTTCAGATGTGTGCACTTCAACTCCCAACATTCCCCAGCCAGCACAGCAATTAGATTCTGAGTACATTCTGCATTTCAGGAGGGGGCTGGACTAGATGACCTTTCAGGGACCTTGCACTCTATGATTGTAGAGCAGGGCTCAATTTAACAAAGGCCATGAGCTCTTTCTTCTGAAGCTTCGCTTTTGTGTAAATACGGCTTGCATGAGAAGAGATATTGCACCTAATTTGCAGTTGCTAGACTCAAATTATCACCACTTTGCAAGCTGTTGATTTAACAAACTCCTCCACAGTTTTTTTTCCTCTCCCTCAGCCCTTTGTGCAGATGAGAGATCTCTCAGTGTGATTTTATCTGTATTCTCCTAAATAGGGAATTAAAATCCTTCAACTGAACATCTCTTGAAACTTACACCCTTCCATCCTTTTTCAAAGCAAAAAGATCAAATATAATTTCAATAAGGTGTGTTACCTGTGCTCTCTTCCTTTCACTACCTGTACAGCCATTTCAAGCTTAGGGTAATTATAAATTTTAATTATCACAAATTAAGCATGGAGATCTTTAATGTATGGCTCATTATTCTGTAATCAATTAAAAGGGAATAAAGACGATAATAAAAATGAACAGCTAACCATGCCTGTGACTAGGATTGTTCAAAGGTCTATAGAGGCCATGGTTAAACAGAAGAAATTATGATCATTAAAGGCCTTAAAAATCCATCTTCAGGTCTCTAGACACTTCTCCCCTTTCCATTTCCAGTGCCATAGTCAGAGGGAAAAGAAGAGCAATAATAAAATTATAACAGCAACTTACTCAGGGCAGTATGTTAATAGTAGAGCATTACTGATTTCCTTTATATTCCTTCTTTCAGTTACAACCATGAAAACTTGTACCTTATTTGATTTTTAGTGAAAGGATCATCCTCAGTTCTAGAGTACAGATAAGCTTTTTTTTTTTCCTCACAAATTCATTTTGGCTGGGTTTGACTGATACGTTTAACCAGATCAACGAATGTCCTAGCAGCTTTATTCACACAATATGTTAAGTAATGTGATTTAAAGCTGGAGTAGTTTTGTGCAGAGCCTAGACTATAGGTAGAATCTGACTTAGGATCACAATTGAGACCAGAATTTCTGTTGCTAAGTAATGGGTCACACTTGATTTTACAATTTATTTGCATTGGTTGTTAAGCGAATCAATACAACTGTTAAGCGAATCACGTGGTCATTAAGCAGATCCAGCTTCCCCAATTAACTTTGTCAGGAGCCAGCTGGGAAATGGGGATGATATGACCCCACATGTGCAATAATCATAAATACATGCCAGTTGCCAAACATCTAAATTTTGATCACACAACTGTGGAGCTGCTGAAATGGTTATAAGTGCAAATACTGGTTGTAAGTCACTTTTTAAAGTGCCATTGTAACTTCAAATAGTTGCTAAAGGAATGGTTGTAAGCTAAGGACTATCTGTAGTTAATTAGTTAAAAGTTTGAATGCATGTCTTAATACTGGAAATAGATTAATACTTATACATAAATGAACTTGTAGAACCAAGGTAGGCTATTTGAGGCCATTAAGGGATGAGGCTATTTACTTAGAGACACAGAAAACTCAGTTGCTTCCTTTATTCTCCCTCTTTTAATATACAGCAGTAATATAATCAGTATTTTAACAGTAATACACTTTTTTAATTGTAAGGCACCCAGTCATGAAATGAGCAGCCATAGAAAATGAATGAATGAATGAATGAATATCGGAGGATCAGAATTTTATTTGGCCTGGAAAGCAGAGGGTTTACTGTAGCTCAGTGACAGACTAACACTTCCCTGTTCCTTGTTGTCCTTTTTCAGTTACTTCTTCATTCAAAAGGTTTTGAATGTTAAAGAGGAACCACAGCTCAATAATAGAGCAACAGTGCCCCATTTAAATCAGTCCTCCAATTAGAACAGTGAGGACCGGAATCTTATGTGATATTTTGGAGAGCATGTGCTAGGCCTGCAAAAAGTTCTCAGACAAATGACTAGGACCCCAAAATACGATGCAAAAATTCTCTCATTCATAAAGAGAGATGTTACCCAAGAACATCCATAACAAAAAGGAAAACAAAAAAGATTCACCCACAGATTCGTTCATTATCTACATCAAGTATGGAATGGTGCAGTCATTAGCTTCATAATTCCCAAGTGTGAAAAAAGGAAAAGAAAAGCAAACTGCAATGGAAACAAATTACACTTCCAGACTGGACTCAAAAGTGCTTTCTTTTTTTTTTTTTTTTTTTCTTCAAAAGGCAACTGGTCTGTTTTTTTCCACGAGGAAGAAGAAGAAAATGTTTCGCTTCTCATCCAAGAAGATTCATCAGTTCTGATGGTGGGGTGGGTGGGTGGGAATGGAAGAACAGGTACTGACAGTAGAGATTGGATGTGGGGGGGGGGAATGGAAGGATAGGTTCTGATAGGATGGGTGGGGGAAATGGAAGGACTGTACAGGTAGTCCTAGACTTACAACAGTTCGTTTAAAGTTACAACAGCACAGAAAAAAGTGACTTGTGAATCATTGCGGTTGTTAAGTTAGTAACATGGTTGTTAAGTTTATCTGGTTTCCTCACTTACTTTGCTTTTCAGAACGCCGCAAAAGGTAATCCGATGACCCCAGGTCATAAGTCCCTTTTTTCAGTGCTGTTCTGTTGTTAACTTTAAATGGTTACTAAATGAGCAACTAATTGAGCACCCCCAGAGTCACGTGAGCAAAATTCAAATGCTTGACAACTGACTCATATTTGGTAAGGCCACACTTGGAACACTGCATCCAGTTTTGGTCACTACGATGTAAAAAAGATGTTGAGACTCTAGAAAGAGTACAGAGAAGAGCAACAAAGATGATTAGGGGACTGGCGGTTAAAACATATAAGGAATGGTTGCTACAATTGGGTATGTCTAGTTTAACGAAGAGAAGGACAAGGGGGGACATGATAGCAGTATTCCAATATCTCAGGGGCTGCCATAAAGAAGAGGGAGTCAAGCTATTTTCCAAAGCGCCTGAAGGCAGGACAAGAAGCAACGGGTGGAAACTAATCAAGGAGAGAAGCAACCTAGAACTAAGGAGAAACTTCCTGACAGTGAGAACAATTAATCAGTGGAACAGCCTGCCTCCAAAAGCGGTGAATGCTCCAACACTGGAGGTTTTTAAGAAGAGACTGGACAGCCATTTGTCCGAAATGGTGTAGGGTTTCCTGCCTGAGCAGGGGGTTGGACTAGACGACCTCCAAGGTCCCTTCCAACTTTACTACTGTTACTATTACTATGATGGTTGTAGTGTCCCACACTCATGTGATTCCCCCTTTGCCACCTCCTGACAAGCAAAGACAATGAGGAAGCCGGATTCACTTAACAGCCTTGTTAATAACTTAACAACTGCAGCGATTCACTTAGCAAATGTAGCAAGAAAAGTCATAAAATGGGGCAAAATTCACTTAACAAATTTAACAAATAGCAACATAAATTTGGGGCTCAGCAGTGATCGTAAGTCGAGGACTACCTGTATTTCTTTGCAATCATCTGGTCGTTAGCACTCTCTGAGAGTGCAAAGAAATATAACCCTTCCCTCCCTCCCCCCCATCAAAACCTGTCCTTTCAACCCCTCACCCTCCAGTCTCAAGTCTCAGTACCTGTCCTTCCATACACACAAACACACACACGCCATCAGACCTGATGAAGCTTCTTGGGTGAGCAGCGAAACGTTTTGAAGAAAAAAGCACCTCTGAGGCAACTATGACCTGGATGATTGAAAACCTCCACAGACATTTCCAGACTGAACATGTC